CAGCCTTCGGCCCACAACGGCAACGTAACTACTTTACTCCTTTTCACCACTTTACAAGTGCCTCAAGGAGTGGGGGGCTGGAGGACCCCTTCGGGAAAACCATTAAATTATAAAATCTGTGAAATTCCAACAAACAACAAAGCAAGCCCTCAAGTCCCGACATGTGGGTAACTGAGGGACTGCCTTCGGCAGGGACATAAAAGCAACAACTCCTCACCAACTTCAGAGATCACAACGGGACAACATCAAAGGGCAAACACAAATTACTCCTTTTCCCTCAAGTATCTTTCGGCAAAAGAAGTGAGGGACTCCTGATGGAGTATATGGCCCGAGAACCCCCGGCCCACAGACTCCTACTACTCCAGCAAAGGCCCAACAGGCCCAAAAGGCCCAACAGGCCCAAATCACAGCGCCCGGAGTACCAAGCAGTCCGCACAACGCACAGGGGTGCCTTCGGCCCCCTGGCCGAAGGCTCCAAATTCTCACAGAGCGGGTTTCTCAAGCAAACTAAGAAACTGGGAGAAAACGGCGAAAACAGTAGCCCTCGGCACTGTGAGCCCTCGGCACCAGGGGGTGCCGTCGGGTGGAAGAGCCCTCGGCTACTGCTTTATAGCCGAAGGCATCTCACTCGACAAGATATCCGCCTCACATGCGTACAGATCACCGTACCCCGCACAGACGTCCCACCCAACAGCCGCATTAAATGCGGCCACATGCGGCTGCCAGCGCCAACCAGTTGAGGTGACCCCTCGGCCAATGGGCGCTTGACACGTGTCCCTGCCCGGCATTTATTGCTACTATAAATAGCACCCCATTTCCCCATTTGTAACCACGCTTAATACATATCGAATATACACTCTCTCTCTTACTTGTTTGCTTTGACTTCTCTCTAAGTTATTCCCCGTAATAACCCTTCGGATATATACCCCCGGGTAGACTATCCATCAAAATGTATGTCGCAAAATCTAATTTTATAAATAATAAATGTCTAACACATAAAAATAACAATTTCATACAACATAAACTTTTGTGCAACTTTTGTATACATTTTCAAAAAAAATTGTACTGACAAATATTTATGTAAAGTTTGGCCAATAGAAAAAAATGTTGATCGAAGAAATACATTTTTACATAAAACTAATGTCACATACATACAAAAATGTTTCGGCCAAGGTAAAGAAACGTATACTTTTTGTACACATTTTCAAAAAAAATTGTACATATATTTTTTGTCAACTTTGGACACAAACAAAAATACAAGTCTAAAATCCGCTTTTACATATAAAAAAATCTGTCACACAAAAGTGTACGATATTTAACCGTGTCGAATATTTTCCGTGTGTGCCAAAAATTTGGTGCCTTTAAAATATTTGTTTTCTGTTTATTAACTTTACCTACAAAAGATATTGATACATTTTTTCTAAACGTGGACAATTTTTTTTCTATCTGGTACGTAGTATATGTAACATTTTGTTGTGCCACACTATTATTGTCTATTGATTTTGAATTTTACAACCAACATTTTTTTATCTATGTCTAACTTTAGATAAAAAAAATTGTGTGAATTTTTTTTTGAAAATGTGTAGAAAAGGTGTATTTTTTTAACTGTGCTTAAAGTTACATATTGAACTGCGTCAAAATTACAAATACGTAACAATTTTTATTCGATTGTATGGTAATGATGACTATATTTCAATATGGGCAATAACTAAAAGATTAAAGGTGCGATTTTCCTCAAAATAAAAGTATTTGATAAAAGTTGGTTTATTTATTTTTTCCAAGAATGAACATTTTTTCTTGGGAGAAGATGATAGATGATTTATTGAAATAATTAGAAAGAAATGTAAGAAAATATTTCTAGGGAGAAGCCAACAAATAAAAAGGAAACATAGGGAAAAGAACCAAAACAAAAAAAACATTGTTGAAATGATAGGATGAAAAAAAGGAAAACGAAAAATAAAGATGACAAAGAAGATCGGCCCAAATCTGAGAAAGGAAAAGATTTAAGGAGACAAAGAAAATAAAGAAACAATCGGCTTGAGACTGGAGTGTGCTTAAAGAAAGAAATAAGGAAAGAGAAAAATAAACTAAAATGCTACTAACCTGCTTGAAGAGGTTGATTTCCGGTCACTTTGGTTTAGTTGATTGTTTTGTACTAGTAGGCACGATAACCTCACAATCAGCTGGGCTGGAATGCTTGGTTGTGTATTTTTTCTTTTTCTTACTATTAATATTATCATTCAATTACTTTTTCTAGATCTGATTTTTGTGTAATTGGTAAATATATTTGCTAGATTAAGGACTTGATAAATCTGTTTTCATTGAAAATTCGAATGATATGATGTTCTGAATAACTTCGTTTAATATTCGACTTAAATATTAAACATAGCTTTAGGAAAATTAAAATAAACGATAAAAAATCAAAACGTCTTTTCGCGTCTAAGTCTCGCATAGGCTTTAAAGGTCTAAGGCTTGACTGTGCCGTCTCAACACGCCTTACGTCATTTAGAACATTGCCGCTATCCCAATTTCTTTCGCAAAGTTTGAGTGACACAATAATTAAGAAATAGTAGTAGTAGTAGTAATAAATGAAGCTTGCTTTTTTACTATGTTGCCCATCTTCCACAAAATAAATACCTTAAGTTAATGATAAAAAGTAATAGTAAGAGTAAGTTTGTTGCTTTAGAGTAGTATTCCTGTCCGGCCAGGCCGGACAGGAGGGTGATCCGGCCACCTCATTTTGAGGTGGTTTCCGGTGGTATTTGTTGCTGAAATTTTTTGTGTATGTTATTCATCAAGTCTAGTTCATTAATACCAAATTTGAGCAAAAACTTCAATCGGAAAGGCTGTCAAATGATTTTTGAAAGATAATTGCGCCGGAATATACATGTAAAACGTAGTTATCTTTCAAAAATCATTTGACTTCCTTTCCGATTGAACTTTTTACTCAAATTTGGTATGAATGAACTAGACTTGATAAAGAATATACTCAAAACATTTCAGCAAAAATTACCACCAGTAACCACCTCAAATTGAGGTGACCGGACCATCCTCTTGTCTGGCTTAACCGGACATGAATATTTGTGTGTTACTTTATACATATACATACCTAAAATAAAAGTGGAACAACTAAAAGTAAAAAATGAAGTTTGCTACTTCATTTTGGGACAACTACAATAGAAAATTTTAGAAATTAAATTGGGACGGAAGGAGTAGTTCTAATCCTTTTCTACCCTCGTGTCATTTCAGATTACGTAAAATGATCAGACACTAAAAGGGATAAGGGTCAAATAGGACACTATGATTACATGTGAATATCATATGAGACACTAAGATTTAAAATGGACCAAATTGGATACTATGGTTACATGTTTATCTCATATTGGATACTAAAGTTTCAAATAGATCAAATTTAATGTTTTTCTGCTCATTTTTAAACACCCAACGAAGATTTTTCATATTTGAAAACTATAAGTATTCCTTTTTTCTTTGTTTTATGTACCTAAAAAATAAAAATAACTTAATTCGCGTATTTAGATTTAGAATATATAATTAGATGTTTTAATTATGAAAATCAATTATAATGTAATTGAAATCTTTAATATTGTTGAATTAATGTAACAAATCGATATTTCCCTAAGTTTCATAAAAATCGTATGAATCAGAAGTGATAAATATATTTTTAATTTATTAAAAATAAGAAGTTTTTTATAAAAATCAAATTATATATTCTAAGACCTCAAATTAAATCTTTCAAAATTATAAACCTCAATTAAATTAGTTTATTTTCACCAAAAATAGGAAAAATAAGACTAACCATTTTTATTAAAGGAATAAGAGAATGGTGAGTGTCCAAAAACTATGGATTATGAAACCTTGGTGACTAATATGAGATTTATACATAACTATAGTGTCCAATTTGGTCCATTTGAATCTTTAGTGGCCAATATGAGATTCTTATGTAACCATAGTGTCCAATTTGACCCTTATCCCGACACTAAAATAGTAAAATCACCAATAAAAAGTGCAAATAAGCCCTTTTATAGGAGGCTCTGTCCGGCCGTCGACATTTGGGGCGGTTTCCGGTGAAATTTTTTGATAAAATTTTTTAACATCTTCTTCATTAAGTCTAGTTTACTCATACCAAATTTCTGCTAAAAATTCAATCGGGAAGGCAGTCAAATGAATTTTTGAAGATAACTGTGCAGTTAGGCAGCGCAATATATTTCATTAAATCATTTGACTGCCTTTTCGATTTAATTTTTAGCTAAAATTTGGTATGGGTAATCTAGACTTAATGAAGAAAATGATCAAAAAAAATCATCAAAAAATTTCACCGAAAACCACACCAAATGGCGACAGCCGGAAAATGTCTCATCTAAAAAAGGGCTTATTTGCACTTTTTATGAAAATTCGAGGGTTTATTTGATAGTTCTCCCAAGAATAGTTTTATTTTTGTCCGAAATAAGTAAGTCTCATTTTTTCAATAAAAAGTCAAAACTTGAGTCTTATTTTTGACGTTATTATAGATCGATTAATCTAAGTTTAAAGAAAACCTCTAACTAATGCCGAATCACCTTATCATCTTTAACTTCTCATACTCCCTCCGTTTTGTAAACAACTTCACACTTCATTTTCACACATATTAAGAAATAAATTTATTGGAGGGTAAATTTTACTGTTTTGACATTGTTTGACACTGTTTTGCACTGTTTTGATGTAAATTTCGGGAGTGGGGAGTATGTGTGAAGTTAATTTCGGGATTGCCCATAAAGAAAAGGGGGAAGTTATTTCTGGGACAGAGGGAGTATAATTTTTGAACCGAATTTAGCCAAATTACCAAATCTATTACGGAGTATAATCTAAAAGCAATTTGTTTTTAGAAATCAAATCTCCCTTGCGAACTTCATATGGAATCAAATCTCGAGGTAGGGCTGCAGAAAAAGGCGAAAGATTGGTCAAATTCAAATTTGCAGATCTAAAAATTACAAACTACATGAGAGTGAGTGTGTGCTTGCCGATGCTTTTGTAATTGGGAAGGCGGAGGACGCTTAGGAAGCATGTCGAAGAGGGTAAGAGAGAAAAGGAGGACAAAAATGAAGTGAGAGGCGGGGGAAAGTGAGAGGCGGCGGAAAGAGGTAAAATTGTCAAAGAAGCAATACAAAAAAAAAGTGGGTACTTTTTGAAAATTTTAATATGAGGATGATTTTTTTAGAAAATTTATCAATCCAGATTTGAAAGATAGATGATCTATCAATTCGAGATTTGAAATGTGTCGGCGTAGGATCCGAATGATTGAAAACTATCAATTTAGGATCTAAGTTGTTATGAATTTTATTTTTTATTTTTTAAATTTAAATTATTATTATTATTTTTTTAATATTAAGGATCAACTTTTATATTAAAAGTAAAAACGAGACAAGATACAAGATAACATCCAAACAGTTATATCAGATCCGATTGTAAACCCTATGAATAGACATAGAATCAGTCACCTCATACAAAACAACCTTATTCGCTAGACACGAATAAAGTAAGAATATATGGTAGTAATTGAGTAAGAGATATATAAATGAATGTTAGTCACACAAAATTTTTGAAAAATAAAATTGGGTAGAATTTTTTGGGACACCCAATCCTCTCCTTAATAGCACTACAACACCTCCAAAGAAGTTCCCGCTCACCCCAATGCTTCCTATCAACCGTCCGATTTTAGTAAATCAAATCTAGGGCTTTTACGCCTCCCCTGTATCCCTCTTTCGTTTCTCACATCTGAAACTTCTCAAATACATTAGTTCTTCCCAAATCACAACAACATCAAGAAAGCTAGCTGAATCCCCTTCATTCGTGTAATCCCTGGATGCTCTTGGTTCCTTCTACGTCTCACACCGCCTCCAACACCTGAAATCCTTTCACTCATTTCAATGATTTCATCCCTTCAAACACCCGTTGATCATGGATGCTCATCTTCCTTTACTCAATGGTCGATTTTCCATTTTCATTCATGCTCACCCCTCCCACTTTTCCAGGCTTCTCCCTTCTCCAGTTCTCCATCCGTGTTAGTGCATTATCTTACCACTTCTTCCGCCATTTATTCAATTGATCAATGAACTTGATATTATACAAACTAATAATGGGGGACTTGTGTTGGGTAAATGAGACGAACGTCCCCATAGTCCAAGGCCCAAAGGACGGTAGGCGACAGAGGACGAACGTCCCCATAGCCCAAGCCAACTGGGACGAACGTCCCCATTGTATTTGATTTTTTCCTTTTAAATTCATTTCGGTTCTTTTGATATGATTTTCTTTGATTTTGCTTTAGATTGTATGCAATTTGCAAACGCTAGTTCACACCACCACCATCAAAGAGTAAGTATACTTATTAATTTAAACGTTTGTTCAATACTTTTGATTGTATTGATTTTTATTAATATATTTACTTTTAATTTCTTCAGTTTTATGCCTTGTGTGAGCAACCAGCTAATAAAACAATTGTTCTCTTTTGTTGGACGATCCAATCCTTACTTCTCCAGTTTCTTTAGTTTCACCCCTCACCTTTTTACCATAGATGTTTCCCTCCAAACATGGAGCTCTTTTCTTCTTCTCCACTCTTTTCTTCTCCACCTTCTCAATTCCTGCAAAAGTTAGTTTGTTTTATAAAAAATATCTTTTTTAATTTACGACACATTTTATTTTTAGCAGTTTTAATAAAGGTCATGTGTATAATTAATTGACGCGGAATTTATTTACAGTTTTAATTTAAGGCACAATCCTCCTCTTGATATATGCATGATTTTTAAACCTTCCTTCATATAACATTTTCCATATGTACTTTGCTTGGTTTGCTTAAATAGTTACTATGCTAATTAAGACATAATTTGCTTGGACAATTTTAATGTAAGGCAACTTTAATTTTAAGCAACTTTTAATCTCGGTAGGAATTAATTTGAATTTTTTATTTATGTCAAAGTGTATAATAAAGACCGAATTTAATTAGACAGTGTTGGTAGAAAATATCCCGGGTAGAGAAACTGACAGCAATTCATTACAGTAAAAATAGCTTCCCCGGATACATGGGGGTGATGGCCTATTTATAGGCATCATCACAAGTCCAAAGTCTAACCTACGTGGGCTTGGCCCAAATTAATAATACATCTCGAAGCTAACGGGCCAACCAGCCCGAAAAATAAGTAAATAATCTCGGACCAATATCTGCTAGCCGGACTGCGTTCTGAGCTTGGTCGGGCCAAAGCTAGAGTGTAACAGGTTGATAGTCTTGGACCCGGCCCATTATCCCAACACGAGTCCCCCATTCCCTTAGTCGAGTAGTAGACTCGGCTAAAAGGGAGTAGTTAAGTTGTTCTGGAATTTGTCCGGTTCTTGGTCCGACCGACTGGTCAATAACGAGCCTTGAATTAGATCCAATTGCTTGTGAATGGATGAAGTCTTCCTTGTTCCGACCGAGAGACCTCTTCCTTTGTTCATGATGAGGGGGGCCTCGTTAAAACCTTACTAGGAAAAAGGAAGGCTGGTCCCCTCGGTTCTTGATTGAGAGTCTGCTCTACTGGTAAGCCGAGATAGGTTCCGGGAAGGCCAATCGCACGCCTATTTGCTAGTGGTGGCGGTCGAGCCAAGGCATGCTCATGAGAGGCCAGTCACAAAGCTGCCTGTTGATGATGCAGAACTGAGGTGTGCTCGGGAGAGGTCAGTAGCTCAGTTATCTATTGATGATGCCGAGCTGAGGTGTGCTCAGGAGAGGCTAGCAGCTCAGTTGTCCGTTGATGATGATCAGGCAAGGTATGCTCTGAAAAGGCCGGTTGCACGCTGTCCACATTATTCCCCACTGCTTGTGAAAGGATTTGGTTCGCTTGGTCTGGGTAGCAGTCCATGTCTTGTTTGTTCGACCAGTAGCCCGGGGTCTTGTTTGTCTGAATAGCAGCTCAAGGTCTTGTTTCTCCAACTAGCAGCCCGGGGTCTTGTTTGTCCGATTAGCAGTCTAGGGTCTTCTTCCAAATTCAGCAAAAAGGTGAGCCCTTCGGCCACTGCGTGCAGCTGCAACGGTCTCCATCTATTAAGGGAATGGTGAAGACCAGTCTTCACTTATGAACAATGCTCATCTGACATTCTCGGGAGGATGCGGTGACTAGTCCACTTTGATAAGTAGTCCCTGTTGATTGATATTATTACTTGTTATAGACATGGCGGGTAGGAGAGGTGCTCTCGGCCTTCGACGTCTAATGAAGGTCTGTTTCATGCAGGGAAGAAGCCTGGAGCTTCTCCGTCTGGTGCTGGGGAAAAGAGAGAAGCTTCCCTGCTTTGCGAAAAATGACTTTCCAAGAAGAACAAAGGTATAAACTGCTCCTTAGGCCGGGTAAGGGGAGATATCCCAACCGGCAGAATCCTTGCTTATTCCGTTCATTTCCTCATAGGTATGTCATGTCAGAGAAGCACACCTGCTTGCCTGCCCCGACCTTCATTTCCTCGTAAGTATGGCTGGTCGGAGAAGCGCACTTGCTGCCCTACCCAGACCTTCGTTTCCTCATAGGTATGGTAGGTCGGAGAAGTGAACTTGGTTCCCTGCCCTGACCTTCATTTCCTCGTAGGTATGGCTGGTCGGAGAGGCGCACATGTTGCCCTGCCGTGACCTTCGTTTCCTCATAGGTATGATAGTTAAGAGAAGTGCACTTGTTGCCCTGCCCTGATGCCCGGGGGAAGCACGTAGTTTCCCTGCATAATGTCATGGAGATGCCTAGAGCTTCTCTGCCTGATGCTGGGGAGAGGCACGCACCTTCTCTGCCTGATGCCGGGGAGAGGCATGCACCTTCCATGCCTAATGTCGAGGAACACACACAGCTTCTCTGCCTGATTCCGAGGGGAAGCATGCAGCCTCCCCGTGTAATGTCAGGGAGATGCCTAGAGCTTCTCTGCCTGATGCAGGGGAGAAACACTCACCTTCCCTGCTCCACGAAGAATAATTTGTCGAGAACAGTAAGGGCATGAAGCTAAAAATGAGTAGACGTGACCAGACTAATAGAAGTCTGGCTCGCCCCGCATCCCATCCAAAGCATGTAAGATATCTACAAAGATTTGTCATTTGCTAAAGGAGTGGTTGAGATCATGTTTGCGATGCAAAAATAATCGTCATCCGTGAGGACAGTAGGCGAACAATGTCATTTGACCTTCAAGCTTCCCCAGGATGGATGTAAGATTCCAGAATGAGAACAGTTCTTGAAGCACTCCCTAATGCAGGTCAGGGGAGCGATGCTAGGACGATTCCTTGATGCAGGGCAAGAGAGAGGTGCTTGGACAAATCCTTGATGTAGGGAATGAGGGTGATGCTTGGGTGACTCATTCCTTGTCATTTGTTGAGTCAGTGGGAGAGTTCTTTTGTAGGTTCGCTCATTCATGCCAGTGATCGGAGGGTTGCATATACTTTTTCATGCGATGAGGAGCCCAAAATGGACCGACCTCCTGTGATATGAGGGCGGTCGGAGTACTAAACCATCTCAATGATCTTTGAACATCCTAGTTGGCGATTTAGGCAAGACCTTCACATTGTTTCGTCTTGATGAACAATTGTTGACGAGAACGGCATGTGATAGCATCTGGGCTTCCAAGCTATGTATCGGTTCACACATCTCCAACATTCTGAGAGCCCTGCTCGATCCCATGTGGTTTGGAAAAATAGACGATCTCATTCCTTTACACAAACTTGGCTAGATATTAAGACGAAGAGTTTGACGGAGAAGATGCACATATGACGGGATTTCCACCTTGTGGTGACATGTGTGACCTGCCACGATTTATCCGTAGACATGAGAGACCCAAGGTCGGAGCTAGGGTTGGCTCTTGCCCATTGATGAGATCATACGTAAGTTATGCACTGTCATGCACGCGCAACCTCGTCCAGGAGATAGCCTTAGACGTACTTGACCTGGAGATAGCTCCGCACGAACTTGGCCTGGAGATAGCCTTGCACGAACTTGACTTGGAGGTAACCTTGCACGAACATGGCTTGGAGATATCCCCACATGAACTTGGCCTGGAGATAGCCCTGCACGAACTTGGGCTGGAGATAGCCCTGCACGAACCTGGCTTGGAGGGTAGCCTTGCATAAACTTGGACCAGAGATGAGTGTGTGGCTCGGAATGGATGGCGTGCTGATGATCACTGGCCCCGCATGTTTAGTTTGAATTTTGAAGCCTGTTAAAGAACAGTTTGAACCAACACCGGGTAGTCAGGCTTAGCTGTGGGCGGACAAGGTAGAGTCTGCTTTGAAGGATACACAGATTGCCATGGAGTAGATGATTTATGCATGCCTGAGCTTGGCTGTGACCAAGGATATGAAAGCCCTATCTGGGATTAGATTAAAGTAAGACCATCATGAGGCATCATCCCGGGATGCACGGCGTGAGGTAGTTGCAGTGTTGAAGGACTCTATAGAGTTTATAGAGCTTGTCACTCCTAGGATCAAGGCCCAGTTGGAGCATATCTGATCTTAGCTGCGGACCTAGGAGGATTGCAATCATCGTGAAGAGAAAATCCTATTCTCTTTTAGATGTGATCAGCATGATATGCATACTACATTGTATGACATGTTGACGTATCATTCTCCAGGCTTTCACCCTGAGAAGCTTGGTTTTCTCGGGATGATATCTGACCCTGATGAGGCGGAGAAGGTGGGCAATAATGATCTTGGAGTTTCTCTTCATGATTGATTTTATCGCTTGAGCTTGTCTGTATGCATAGTTCATTCTTTCAATTTACTTAGTCGTTTTTCATTCAAGAATACTTGGATAACTTATCGGGGATCTGGCTCCCCACCTAGGCCGCGAGGGGCGGGAGGTCGACAGGGTCGACCTTGACCGTGCCCTGCTGGGTAAGGCAGGGCTGACCCGCACACTTTCGGTCTAGGACCGATGAGTTGTGCAAGTTGTTCGACTGGCGTTTGGACAACAGATGTACGAGAGGGGCTCGAGGCACGACCTCTCGCATACCTTCGACCCAGAGGTCGGTCTTACACCACCTTGACTTGTATAGCTAGTTTCATACTTGGGAAATATTTTGGTTGTTCCCTTTTTGAAAGTCGAACTGAAGTCGGCCAAACGTAAGGGCAAGGCCCTGCATGATCAGACCAGAACGGACTCGCACCGTTGATCCTATCAAGCACGTATGCGGGTTGTTAAGCCTAGCAACGTCAGACAATGGATGTACGAAAGGGGCTCGGAGCACGACCTTTTGCATTCCTTTGGTCCGGAGACCAGTCATGTAGTTGCAACATCGTTGATTGGATCATACGTGCATGCGAGCTGTTTAGACAACAACGTGAGACAAAGGATGTACGAGAGGGGATCGGGGCGTGACCTCTCGCATACCTTTTCGACCCAGAAGCAGCTAACCCCGGGCGTAGAAAATAGTTTGATTATTTCTTTGCCCGAGGGCCGAGCCGTGGTCGACTAAACACCGAGAGCGGGGCGTGGTATGCATATACTCTTTTTCTCTCTCATCTTTCTATTTTTATTTTTTTCTTCTTTTGGCTCTCCTCTTTTTTCTTTTGCTCTCTGTTATCTCTCTCTCTCTTTTTGCTCTTGTTTTTAACCGCTGCCCGTTGATTTCCAAGTGAGGTCGGACCTCATCAAATTCAAGATTGGAAAATGAAATATTTTTTTAAGCAATGAAATAATTTGAGAACTTGAGGAGTTGCTCCGAATTCTGCACTTGTTCTACAATTGATGATGATCGACTCCTAGAATGTGAGAGAGCTTATATGAAATCTACACTTGATCAACGAGCTTGCAGTGCTCCGCTCATATGATTAGAGAAGGTTCTCGATGCTCCGCACTTGATCCCCGAGCTTGCAGTGCTCCGCTCATAGAATTTGACAAGGTGCCCTTCATTGATCTTAATCTTCTGCTCAGTTTCTGGAGGTCAACCTGGATTTCCTCGACTTCATAGGTGGGTTCATCACAAAGCTGAGGACCCTCCTCATACTTCATAGCTTTGTTGTTGATGGTATGGACCTTGAGGTCCACCCGCTCAAGTTGCTTGAATGCCTTCGCGTAATGGCTTCACATTGCAATGTTTTATTTCCACGGTGCTTCCGGGTATTAGCGTGTATGCTTCCACGCCCTCGTCTCATAGCTCCGGGTTGCAAGGTTTGTTCCCCTTTAGCAACGGTGCTTCCAGAACATCGAGTCACAACTCCGTGTTGTAAGATTTGTACCCTTTGGCAACGGTGCTTCCATGCTACTGTGAATTTCTGCGTCATATGACGTCTTTTTATCATCCGGGGAATGTCTCCATGTTCACAAGAATAATGTGACTTGAATGCTTATACACCTCTCGTGTGGCGTCAACCTATAGAACCCTTGAACCAAAGCTTCTAGAGCACGGTAGCTTCTCGGAACGATTGCACCCTAGCATGAAGATGTGTCGACTTCATGCGCAGAGCAAGATAGGGCTCACGTCTAAGATGATCCCAGGCGAATTACATGTTACGACTATGATCCAGTGTACCGCTCAAGTCTCTAGGATTCGACAATTGATTTCAGAGATCTCCTGTCAGCATCATCACTTGGCTCCTTATGTGATGGTCGTAGTGTTGTCCATACTTCTCGGCGTCAGTGAAGACTTCCTGTTGGTGTTCTCGTCTTCTGGGTCATCATGCTTCCCTTTTTGCTCCTTTCCTTCTTTGCTTCTTCTTCATCCTTCTTCCTCTACTCGACGTCTTCTGCCTCAGCCTGGTGGTCTGCCGGCCCTTGTGAAATGGCTTCGCGTTGCAAGGTTTGTAACCCATAGCAACGGTACTTCTGGACCTTCATGATCAGCTCCGCGTTGCAAGGTTTGTACCCCTTTAGCCATGATGCTTCCAGGACTTCGAGTAACAGCTCCGCGTTGCAAGGTCTGTACCCCTTCAGCAACGGTGCTTCCTTCCTTCCCGGGATGAGTGTTTCCGAGAGGGCCTCCTTCCTGGCTGCCGCTGCGTTGCAAGGTCTTTACCCCTTTAGCAACGATGCTTCAAGGCCTTCGAGTAACAGCTCTACATTGCAAGGTCTATACCCCTTTAGCAATGGTGATTCCAGGACTTTGAGGAACAACTTCGCGTTGCAAGGTCTATACCCCTTTAGCAACGGTGTTTCCTTCCTTCCCGGGACAAATGTTGGCGGGAGGGCCTCCTTCATGACTACCGCTGCGTTGCAAGATTTGTGCCCCTTTAGCAACGATGCTTCAAGGCCTTCGACTAACAGCTCTGCGTTGTAAGGTCTGTACCCCTTTATCAACGGTGTTTTTCAGGACTTTGAGTAATAGCTCCATGTTGCAAGGTCTGTACCCCTTTAGCAACGGTGCTTCCTTCCTTCCCGGGACAAGTGTTGCCGGGAGGGCCTCCTTCCTGGCTGATGCTGCGTTGCAAGGTCTGTACCCCTCTGACAACAGCGCTTCATCATGGTACCCGTGGATGGTCTTGGACGTGGGGGTCGGCCACATATGGCTCTCCCCCGAAGACCCTTCTCCTCAGCTTGTGCAGCCTTAGCCTCAGATCTTCCACAACATCAAGGGACGATTCTGCTCGTGTGCGCCCAATGCGGAGTTGAACTTGCGCAGAAGACTCTTCAACCCTCTTGCGTATGTGAGGTCGAGATTTAGCATGGCGTCCGTCCAGGAAGGCTGCCAGCCTTCCCAGTCGACGAGAGTGATAAGACGAGTCATCCCCTACTTCCTGGGATGAGCGTTGCCGGGAGGGCCTCCTTCCTGGCTGCCATGGCTGCTCCAATTGCGCAGAAGACTCTGCAATCCCCTTGCATACGTGAGGTCGAGATTCAGCATGACGTTCGTCCGGGGAGCCAACCTGCTTACCCGGTCGACTGAAGTGATGAGACGAATCGTCCCATCTTTTCTGGGACGAGTGTTGCTGGGGGGCCTCCTTCCTGGCTACTTCATGCTTTAATCATATGAGCGTGGTTTATGGGCACCGAGTAGAAAGGCGTCTGGGATGATAGCTCCGAGCGTACACGGCCTCACGATAGTGCTCCACAGCCCCGACCAGTTGGCACAAGTAATCAACTTGCAATTTCAGAAAATTTTAATAGAGGTTTCATATTTTTTTTTTAATTTATGATGTATCATGATTGATTTATGATTGTCCTTTGCTTGGTAGGCTAGGCCCATGTTTTGGTCATGTGAGATGCTTCTAATTTGTTCCAGGTTAGGCCCATCTCTCAGCTTCTTGGAGTGCGGGCCTGCTGCGGAATAGGGCGCGGAGAATGCCACTGCTGGAGACCACCTCGGCGGGGATGAGCATGAACCATCGGCTATTGTTCCCATCGGCCATCCCTGCTGTCGAAGAGAGAGAGAGATAGATAGAGAGAGAGAGATAGAGAGAGAGAGGGGGGGGGGGGGGGGGGGGGGGGGGCTTCGTCCCCACGACCTTGGCGTGATAGGAGGAGATGCTCGGACCAAAGGTAGAGGCGGAAGCGAGCAGAACCAACGAAGGAGGGACAATCGAGTTCTGGAACAGCATTGGCGGACTCGAGCGGACGGCGGAAGGATTGCAGACCTCCAGTGCTGGGCGAGACCTTGAACGATGGTTGTAGGTTGCAGACCTCCACCAGATCCTCGTCTACATGCTCTGCCTCCGTGCTGCGCAGCACCGTCAGGGAGATGTCGAAGTTCATCCGTTGTGCGCCGTTGGCAGCTTGGTTGGTGCAGACTTGGTCGGTAAGTTGCGGGTCCGCAAGTCTGATGGTGGTCCAGGCAGCTGGTTTGGTGAAGCCTGGGTTCATCGTGGATTCTCCTGGTCTCAGGTCTAGATTGGAGTGATGGTTTCATTGCAGCGGCCTCCGTCGCAGCAGCGCCGATCATAGGTCACTCCCTCCTTCACTGCTTTGGTACTCCGTTCATCTTCTTCGGTCCTCGCTGATGGGTTTTCCGTGGTTCAGAATTGGTGGTGCGTGGCCTCCACCGGGTGTTCCCTATTTTCCAGATATGAAAATACCTAATAAATCCATAACAGTTTTGGTTGATTTTTTCGGCACCGATTGTCTGTATTTTCTTGGGATTGTGATGAATTTCTGACTTTTCGAAGCAATTTCACTTGATTTTTGCTAAAATCTCTACGAGTTTCTACCAAAAATATGAGATACAACTCTCAATAAAAGCACCAATGTTGGTAGAAAATATCTCGGGTAGAGAAACTGACAGCAATTCATTATAGTAAAAATAGCTTCCCCGGATACATGGGGGTGATGGCCTATTTATAGGTATTCATCACAAGTCCAAAGTCTAATCTACGTGGGCTTGGCCCAAATTAATAATACATCTCGAAGCTAACGGGCCAACCGGCCCGATAAATTAGTAAATAATCTCGGACCAATATCTGCTAGCCGGACAGTGTTCTGAGTTTGGTCAGGCCAAAGCTAGGGTGTAACAGGCCGATAGTCTTGGACCCAGCCCATTATCCCAACAGACAGTTTTAAATTAAGGCAATTTTTATTTCTATCCATTTTGAATCTCGGTAGTAATTGGTACCAAAAAAAGATCTTGATAGTACTTTATATATATTTTTCAGAACACAATCCTCCCCTTAAGATATGCACGAATTTAAAACCTTCCTTCATTAAAGACTTTCCTCATTTTATTTGCTAGGTTTTTTCGGAAATACTTACTCTTTACTAAATCATAGGAAACAATTACTACCTCCGTCCCTAAAAGAACTTCCATAGTACAAATGGCACGTGGATTAAGAAAGTGGGTATTGTGTGGTGGAGAGTTGTGCATAGGAGAGAATTGTGTAAGAATTGCTGTGAACCACAAATTCTTTGTCAAAAAAGGAAAGTGTAAGTTTTTTTTGGGACGCCTAAAAAGGAAAGTTGGAAGTATTTTTAGGGACGGAGGGAGTATATATAGCCCCCTACCGGTGCATACCATCATATTGGTGTCAAACAATTCTACCACTTATTTAGGTCGGTTTTTTCTGTTTTCGCCGTCTACTGAAGCACTTACATGTGTTAATATTTTCTTTCAATAATATTTTCTTCCATAACATTTTCGTTTTACATCATTCTATAGATCTTAAATGGCTCCAAAAGTGCTTAAACTGGCTGAAGTCACTAGAATACTTGAACCACATGACACGATATTGGTCTGTGTTATTTGCAAGTGGATTGTTCATTACAAAGACACCGAGAAGAGAGTTCATTCTCTAGAGCTTTTGCTTGAAGATGAGAAGGTATTTGACCATACTTAAAATAATTTTATATAATATGTATATTTTTGACAGAGTTTAATCTTACAATAGTAAATGATAAAACAACGGCCCAGTTAGGACACTCTTCCCGGTTGGCTTCCACTATGGGGACGTTCTTCCCAAAAACAACGGCCGTCGTCTGTCGCCTATCGTCCTCTGGGCCTTGGCTATGGGGACGTTTGGCCCGAGTGGCTTGGGATATGGGGACGTCCGTCCCATAGACAAAACTTTTGTCGCCTACCGTCCTCTGGGCCTTGGGCTATGGGGACGTTCATCTCATTTACCTAACACAAGTCCCCCTGTGAGGATGCTCTTCCCGGTTGGCTTGGGCTATGGGGACATTCGTCTTGGTTGGCTTGGGCTATGGGGACGTTCGTCCCAAAAACAACGGCCTTCCTCTGTCGCCTATCGCCCTCAGGGCCTTGGGCTATGGAGAAAGAGAAGATTCTCTTCTCATTGACTCCAAATTAAGCAATAATTTCATTTCATTACAATAGTCAATAACTTCTAATTGACTCTAATTTACTGTCAAATAGGATGATAGGATTCAAGCTACTATATCACAACAACTGGTGCGCATCTTTGACGCCCAAATAGAAGAGGCTGAGACATATGCAATGATGCACTTTACTGTGAGGTCCAGTATTGAACAATATAGGCGATGCTCCCACCATTACAGACTATGTTTCACCGAGGAAACCAAGGTGAAGCATCAAGAAAAGAGTATCATGTCATCCTTATGACCTTTTAAGTGTAAAAGCTTCTCAAATTTTTTTGATGAAGGCGATGATGTCTGTCTTCAATTGTTTGGTAATCTTCAACACTCTGTTATTTCATACTATGTATTTAATAATTTTTGTAACTAAATTATGTGTGATAATAATCTTAATCTCGAGAAAACTTCTAGATGTAATTGGTGCATTCAAGAAAAGTGATAAGTTGTTCACGGCGGAACCTAGAGCGCAAACAAAGTGGTGTAACTTTTACCTTCGTGATTTAGAGTTAAGTGATACAATCATTTCAAATTTTGTTATACTATATGATGTTCTCATATACTAACATCAAAACAATTTACATATTTTAATTTTACAATGCATAGGGATTAGAGGTTGCATTGTACACTCTACAATGAGTATTCCAAACAATTCGTGGAACATGTAAAAAGGACAACATCAGAATATGTAATCGTGATCATCCAGTTGGCACGCACCAACAAACGCTATGGTAGGACAAATCTACATACACTTGCATCTACCAATTTATCGCAAAGAAATATTACTTTAATTAATTCTTTACTTATATTTCTTTTCAAAAACTGAATTCAGGTGAGCAGATGAGGGTCTCAACATCATATAATGCCTCAAAGGTTCTTCTTGACATAGAAGTCTTTGATATTGAAGAGTTTCGAACCAGGTAATATTGATAACGATCTTCATGGCAACCTTCAATAAGCTTTGTCAATCTATTCATCTGAATATTTCTTAATCCTCACATGGCAATCTAATACTGTAACACACTTTAATGGCAATCTATTACCTTTGTTTTCAACCTTGGTAAGTTGGTAATGGTGTTCTAAACTTAGTATTGTCATAAACTCATCAATGGTGAACAAATAACGCAACCACTTCAAGTCATACAACTAACACACGATTACTAAAGTAAAACACTCTTCATAGTTGTAAGTGCATATGTTGATCCAGCCTTGCATATAGGGTGATTAGTGTCAAAATATTGTAGAGTAGAGACTATGATAAGTGTGAATATTGATAATATTGATAATGTCAATGATAAGTGTACAGTATGTAGCAGATTTAAAAAAAACACTTTTAGCAATTGTTTCAATCTATTTACATTTATTGAAATTACCAAGGATGTTGGATATGGTCTCATCACAATCTTTGAGCTCAACATCATCACGAGCTGCATTAAGTGATGATAAAGAAGTTGGAATTGTCAAGATGTTGTGTGAACTACAAACTACTAAGGAGGTATATAATCATTCACTTTATTTCCGAATATCAAATTCTCAAATTCTTACATGGTATGTCTATCATTTTCATTGGTGAACAATGTACACTTGGAACAGGTTCGTGGGTTGTGGTTTTATGGGAAGATAAATGTTATTCTGAATGCTACCAGTTGGGCTTATATGGGATGCTTCAAAAGGTCATCCCATTAGTGATAGCCTCCAAGACAGTCATATTTAGTCACAAGTAGATTATTAATTAATCATTACATTTATTTAAATGTTTAGATATCGAGTTTTTCCGAATTAATGTTAATTAATTAAATAATTACGCAATTAATGTTGGGTAAAAACTATTTACCATTATACTACTTGGCTTAACTCTGATCGGGGAAAGTCTCCAGTTCAGGAAACGTACGTCCCCAACAGGCCAGGGAGTAAATTGAGTTTGAAATTCCCGAGTTCATGGGACGTACGTCCCCAACTGGAGACGCTTCCCCCTATTTCAGGGGACGTACGTCCCCAACTGGGGACACTTCCACCTACTTCAGGGGGCATACGCAACCAACATGGCACAGAGTAAATTGAGTTTGAAATTCTCCAGTTCTGGGGATGTACGTCCACAATTGGAGACGCTTCCCCCCTACTTCATGGGACATACGTCCCCAACTGGAGACGCTTTCCCCTATTTCAGGGGACGTACGTCCCCAACTGGAGACGCTTCCCCCTACTTCAGGGGGCGTACGTACCCAACAGGCCAGGGAGTAAATTGAGTTTGACATTCTCCAGTTCAGGGGACGTACGTCCACAACTGGAGATGCGTTTCCCCCTTAATTCAGGGGACGTACGTCCCCAACTGGAGACGCTTCCCCCTATTTCAGGTGACGTACGTCCCTAACAGGACAAGAAGTAAATTGAGTTTGAAATTCTCCAGTTCAGGGGACGTACGTCCACAATTGGAGACACTTTCCCCTACTTCTGGGGACGTATGTCCCCAACAGGCCAACGGTATATTGGTAAATAGTTTTAAACCAACATCAATTCCGTAATTATTTAATTAATTATTTTAATCCTGAAAACAACTCTTAGATATCTAAATAAATAAATAACTTAATTTTGTTTGGCATGTTATACCGCTGCACTTTCCCCCAGAATTCAAATAAATAAATTCATACTTAATTAGTTGTAAACCATGATAGGTTGTTGCAACTTCCGTTTATTTTATAATTAAGATTTCATAATAATATATTTTTTGAATTCTGAGAGGTTTTCCCCATTCACTTTAAGTCATGTCGCGCAAGAGCCATAAAATGTGATAATGAATTTGAGTGCACGAAGTGTGGAGTGCGGTCTTCTGAAGAAAATAGGCTCTACAAATTGAAGCTGAATGTTGTGCATGGTCGTCACAAGGCTGAGCTACTATTCTGGGATCAAGCATGCAAGCAGTTTTTGGAAAAAACTGCGTCCGATTTTCATGAACATCTGGATGATGTATGTATACAACAAGTATTACTTTTGTTGCTTTGATTTTCCTATGTCAAAACTCAATGTGATGGCTGCATAAATGTATCTACCTATAAATGATTTAAAGTATTTGTTTCTCTTCGTTTAGGTCAAGTTAAGACCTCATAGTGCTCCTCCATTGTTCTACGACTTGGTTGGGCGGGAGTACTTATTCAAAATTGAGAGAGACATCGCGAGTTTAGATGGAACCGATGCTGTGTTTTGCATAAGCATGACAACAGACAATAAGGAAAAGATTGAGCAGATTAAGTCATCCTGGAAAGATGAACCAGAGCCAGAGGTACTTCGTTAATCTTGATTAAGTCATCCTGGAAAGATGAACTATACAATTGTGTTGAACTTACAACTGGGTGAATGCTGGCTGAATATAATTCTGATTCAGATCTTGACTTAATTCTTGAACCTCGAACTACGGTAGAATCCAACTTGGTAAGTTTGAATACTCATAACAATTGATTATGCCTACACAAATATAAACCCAAAATCTATATAAATTCTTATACCATATTTATTATGTTTTCATTCAGACACCAACATCACCCGAGCATGACCAAGGACAGACTCCAATTTCATCCTCAAAGAGAAAAACTGAGGATATAGATGGTAGCAAAGAAATCTCAGATGATAAAACACTAGGGTCTACAAATAAGTATAAGAAGTTGAAGGAGGTCAAAAAAGAGAAACTTTGATGTTTGCCATTTACAAAACTGGATTTTATTTTATGTTTGATTATTCATATTTCTGCATTCACATTTCCTCCTAAAGACAATTTTTTAAAGTTGTGATCGTGCCATTTGTTTTCCTTGAATAAGGGAATTCCTCCCAGTTGAAGACAAGCTTTGATTTTTTTCAATTACTTCTAATATACGAGTAATAAATTGTATGCTAATGGTTTCATTATTTCTCCAAATTCTAATTTGTTAAATATAATCTGTTTATTTGTTTAAAGCACTTTTTATTCTGCAAAAATTTAAATTTTATGTATTTAGATTTACTAAGGTGTAACCTAATTAATTTGCTGCTAGGTTGCTTTTATGCTACTGGTATAGTTATTAAGATACCTTAACATGAACAATAGTTATTAAAATGTTACAAAATACAACTAATAATATACTCTATTGAACATTTTAGCAATCAACTTGAAAGATGGTAGATTTCTTAATCTATGTAGTTTGGGCTCCATGATATTCAGCTTGAGTAAACAAGAACACTGCAAACCAAGTTTTTCCTCAATTGATCAATGAACTTGATATTTTAGGTATGAATTTTATTATTTAGGTAATTTTTCCAGACTTAAATACTTGACACTGAAGATATTATAAAAACTAAATGAAGGAAGGTTTTAAATTTGAAATAAATTTAAAATATTATAATTTTGATATAATATATAATATATATATATATATTATTTTAATTTTAATATGTATATGTACAATATATATTAAAATATTCTAAATTCGATATAATATGTATATATTATTGTATATCCATCTATTTTAAGTTCGGAGTAGAATATATTTTGACTGGATTTTTTATTTTAGGTATGAATTTTCGAATTTAGGTAATTTTTGCAAACTTAAATACTTGATACCTTAGATATTATAAAAACTAAATGAAGGAAGGTTTTAAATTCGAAATAAATTTATAATATTATAATTTTGATAATATATATATATATATATATATATATATTATTTTAATTTTAATATGTATATGTACAATTTTAATGTCGGTACTAAATGGTGCCAAAAAAATAATCACGGCAGTAATTAATTTGATTGAGATTTTTATTTTGGGTTGAAATTTTACTATTTAGGTAATTTTTCCCTACTTAAGTACTTGATATTTTTCAGCACATAATCCCCTCCCTAATATATGGACGAATTAAAAACTTGAATACTTGATATCTATGTTATTATAAAAATTAAATGAAGGAAGTTTTTAAATTCGATATAAATTTAAAATATTGTAATTCTGATATAATATATATATATATATATATATACATACATATATATAGATTTAGGTTCACGTGAGAACTTAATCTTAGGAGAGTAAAAAAGATCCCATCTTCACCATTGGATTAGATTAGAATAATCCGTGCGCCTAAACCTTCATTATGGGTAATAAAGTCAATTTGAATTGTACGTTTGTAGACTTCCTAAACGTACGATGCATGATTTCCTTCTACAACCGTTTCTCCAGGATTTCTTTCCAAAGATATTTTCGTCCATCTGCGTTCTTCTTTCCTTGTTCAAAGGTATTGATTGAATTTCGTCCAGAAGCGAAAGCTTTGCTCGGATTTTGGTGCTCTATTATTCTTCCTTTGGCGTTTTTTCTTTCCGGCCTCCTTTGTGCTTGTCGAGTTTTAACCTATCGTATTTGGTGTACTGCGTTTCGAGTTTCCAGGCCAAAGATTATATGGACTTCGGTGAGTATTATTGGAATGAATTTTGTTATTGTTTAAACTGATCAAGTTTAACATTCTGGGATGATTATATGTGCAACTTTTACCCAAAACGGACAATTAGGACATATGATTTTTTCGTTGTTTCAATATTGTAAACAACATGCGCTTAATGGATTTAAAATTTGTGTAATGTACATGCTTAAACTATGACTATTTTGGAATGCACTCTAAATTGGATTATGATGGATATGCTATACGTTTGGTTGGATATTGCACTTTTACTCTAGTGTATGTTAAGAGCACGTTTTTGTTAATTTATGAGTATTATTGATGCGCACTTCGAATATTATTATGATGCTCTTATATGCATTCTTATATTGCACTTTTACTGTAGTTTATGTTAATAGCATGTATTTGTTAATTTCTGAATATTTTTGTTGCACACCTTAAATATTATTGTCATGCTCTTATTATCTTATATGCATTTTGATATTGCCCTTTTTTGTATACATTTTGCTAAAGCATATTTTTGTGAATATTTTTTTTGCATGCTTCCATTAGATTCAAATGATGTTCCTTTCAGTGCATCTGAAGCCGTTTCTCAATCATTTGATGTTAATACAATGCAAGTTTCTCCGGGATCCACTATGTACTGCACACCGGATTGTGACCCTGCTTTTAAACCGCATGTTGGTATGTTGTTCAACAACTTGCATGATGGTATGAGTTTTTATGATCAATATGAAAAAATTTGTGGTTTTGAATCACGTAAAAGTAGTCAAAAAGGGCTCGTGGTGGCGTTATTCTTTGGAAACATATGGTGTGTAATAGGCAGAGCTTCAAAAATGTATCTAAATCTAAGACGGTTGCACCTAACAGTGATTCCTGCAAGAATGTTGATTTAGATAATGAGTGTAGCGGTGAAAACGAAGAGTTCATTATTGAAAATGAGTCATGTGAATCTGATGGATCTGAAAATAAAGAGGAAGCTCACGTTGAAGATTTAGCAACTCCTGGCATATGCGTCGATGATGACAAGAAAACAAGACACACAGTTTCTAATAGGTGTGATTGCAAAGCTCGTGCAGTTTTTAGGCTTGCAGGCATGGATGGATACAAAATTAAATTCTTCGAGGAGAGGCATAATCATTCAATGCATTCCCTTTCTTCACTGCGTTTTTTAAAAACCAACAGGAAACTCGACATTGGTCATCAAAAATTTGTCCTTAATTGTGCTAAAGCAAATATCGGTACTATGAAATGCTACCGATTGTATAAGGAAACTGTTGGGGGTTATGCCAATATTGGTGCCACATCCGTGGATTTTAAGAATTTTAAACGCGACTTGAAGGCTTATTTAGTTGGTGTGGATGCCCAAATTTTGATAGATAAGCTATTTAGAAAGAAAGAGATTTCTTCAGCGTTTTCATTTGACTACGACGTTGATGAGAGTGACCAGCTAACACATGTATTTTGGGCGGATCCAGTATGCATAAAGAACTATGCGTTATTCGGGGACGTTGTCTCTTTTGATGCTACATATGAGATGAACATGTTTTGTTTTTTAACTAATTATTGCATTTATTAACTTCACTTTTTTTATTTATATGCGTTTTTAAATTATTGTTTTTTTAATTATGTTATGCATTGCAAAAGCATTGGTCATGCACGTATTTTGTTTATTCAATGCACTTTTGTGTTTTTACTTCACAATGTAGGTATGACATGGTTTTTGCCCCTTTTACTGGCGTTGATAATCACAAAAAGTGCATTACTTTTGGTGTGGGTTTGTTGTCCAAAGAAGATGTGGAATCATATGTTTGGTTATTTCGTTATTTCTTGAATGCAATGGGTCGGGAACTAAAGTGCATCATAACAGATCAAGACCCATCCATGAAAATTGCTATTCCACACGTCTTCACCAAATCATGTCACAGATTTTGCATGTGGCATATTATGGAGAAGGTGAGTAAGAAAGTTGGACCGGTTTTGAGTAAATATTCTTATTTTATGACGGAATTGAATTCTATTGTGTGGAGTCATTATTTGCAGCCAACCAAATTTGAACTGAGATGGACCAATTTGATGAAAGAATATGAGCTACTCAATCACAATTGGTTGTCACACATGTTTGAGATTAGGGATTTGTGGATTCCTGCTTATTTTGGTGATATATATATGGCGGGTTTGTTCAGGACTACATCACGTTCTGAGAGTGAAAATAATTTTTTTTAATGAATTCACAAATCCTAATTTCAGTTTGGTGGAGTTTTATATTCAGTTTGAGAGTGCAATGGATTCTCAAAGACATAATAGTGCACAATTGACCAAAGTTTCAGAGTCCTCCATTCCTGAGTACAAGACTCCGTTACATATTGAAAGATATGCTTCTTCTATTTATAATCATTCAATTTTCTATCTTGTTCAGAAGGAAATATGTTGTGCTTGTTTTTCTTGTGTTGTTCTTAGTCTGCATCATGAAGGTTGTGTGTTTATGTATGTCATATCAGATGAACGGGGTTTTAATTTCATAGTTGTGCACAATAGTACGTACTGACAGTTCTACAATTTGTTCTTGCAAACATTTTGAAAGGATCGGGATATTGTGTTGCCACATTTTTTTGTGTTGAAAGAGAAGAAGGTCAATTCAATCCCAGATAGATATGTGCTACGTCGATGGTGCAAAGATTCCATTTTAAAGCCCCTTAATGCATTTGAAGCTGGCATTTTTCAACAGTGTCTTGACACAGAAGAACAAAACCTAGCCATGAAGACATTGTGGTCTGATATTCATTTTTGCGTTGGAATGATTGACCAAAATCCTCAAATGTTTCAGCAGTTTGCAGATGCCATTAAGGTGCAGAAAGATTTACTGTCTACCTCTCAAGGAAATAGTGCATCAGGATCTACAAAAAATGATGTTTTCAAAGCCTTTTATGGGTCCTTTATTCCTACCCAAGTTAGTGTGCGCCCACCACAGCAGGCTCGAAATAAGGGTTGCGGTAAGAGAATTAAAGGAGGCAAGGAGAAGGCAATTGAAGTGAGCCAGAAGTCTAAGAGAATATGTAGAAAATGTAATAAAAAAGGCTATCATGACAGTCGAAATTGTCCTTTGAACTCGGATGAATGATTATTCTTTTTTATTTGTCTTTCACAAGTTGGCCTTTGAGCTTGGAGCAATGTTGCTTTTTTATGACTTGTAATTTGATTTCGTACTTGTCATAATATCACAAATTAATTGTGCGTGCATCGCTGGTGACCTTTTTTTCCAATGTATCAAAAAAAAAATAGGTGGTTGCATTGTTATTAACAAATTGTGCATTTATTGAAACCCAATTTTGCACAATTTCAATCAATGAATCGTGGATAGGATATTCCATACATTACTTAAATTTACAAGTATAATATTTCATTTACAAATATCTTTACTGCATTTGTACAACTAACTCATTCACTTTGACTCATTTACTTAGCTAACCATTACTGAATAAAAATACTTTGAATGTTATTCATGAAATAGTGCGTCTTCCAACCCATAAAATTATATTGTATTAAGAAAACTGTTTATTTTAACAAAACAAAAAACCAAGATAAACATGTGTATGTATACATATGCAACGTGTTAAGTATATTGTGCATAATCTAAAAGTATATTCTTGCATATATCCAACCAAATGCCATTAAAACCAAACAAAGGAAGATGTGTTGGTAAACAACAAAACCAAATTATCAATTCCACTTATGCGATGAATGTCTTCATAAACAACAAAATTAACTACTGAAATTTAGCATAATAACCTATTTCATGTGCTAGAAACCACAGAATAGAGGTGCAATCCATTACACCTTTCAAAACGACAAATGATTGTAAATCCTTGCAACATAAATAGTAAATGTAGATTGTTACGTTGTTCTTTCATTTCTACTTCGTCATATTACGTCCCTTCCCAACTTCCTTCACGACATTCAAGTGGTTTTCCTTGACCTCATTAATGTCTGATGTCAAAAGTGCTGCACAATATTTTAATCTTAATGCACTCAGTGCCTTTGTATTGCCTTTCTTTAATCCACATTTCCATCTTACAGTCCCTTCACCCATGTACGTCTCCATGTGTCTCATGCTCCAAACACCGTAGTCATACACATTGTTCATTTCCCTCCACCTCATCTTCAATCTTGTCAGGTTGGGTTCATAAAATGTGTTGCGGTCATTATCTAGTCTCAATTCGGTGAAGAAATCAACGAACATGTCCCTCTGTTTTCCATTTTTCAGCACAATCAATAAAATTTTTAACCAATAAAATACTCACAAAATTTAACGTTTATGTGCAATGTTTAAAAAACTCACCAGGGTGTTTGGCATCTCACCATACTTTTCCTCACAGTCCATCTCCTCGGCGGAGTTATCCAACACCTCGAGCTGCTGTTTTTTCATGTTCAAAACCACAACATAACAATGTTCTGGTTGCACAATAGGAAAGAAGAACTGCACATTGAAGACATTTAATTAAAAAAGGATTATCAATGGACTAAAATAAACCATTTGTGTTTACAATTCTAAACTATATTTACCAGATCAACATCTTGCATTTTTATATCAGGTTTAACTGATTCCAATGCCAGCTCCATTCCTTGTTTGAAAACTTTGTAAGTCTTGTCTTCGGGGATTTGGCCAGACATTGTGTACAGCTGCAAAATTATTTATCAAAATGTGCACTTTCGTATTAAAGTAGTGCATTGTATATTCACAATACTTACACAGGGATACGATTTCACAAACAATCTGCACGGTGAAGCATCACTTCGTGATTTCTCAAAATTATTCAAGTGGATTGTCCATGCATCTACCACATTCATGTGCATGTGCATTTTTTCTCCTAGGGTAAGCATGTCACCCCGCGTCACAGAAACCTGTTTATACTTGAATAGAATCTCGCCCCTATTTGTGAACAAAATAATTCATGAATTATTTGTATGTTCACCAGTAACATTAAAATCTTTTTTACTAGAAAGTGTTTTTAATATTTTTTTACCTCTTCTCAACGCTTTGTTGCGTCATCCATTTCCACATCAACTTTTCACTTGAGCTTGATGCCTCATTCAGGTTAACGGTTCGTGTGATATAAGGAGACTTCAAAACTTCAGCTTCATGTTGACTCCTTTGTGATCTCAATTCCAGTGCACTTTTTCCTATTACCCCTCCAGTGCTTGTTTCCTTTGTCATATAAATGCACTTTTCAATGACATATCTTTTTTAAAATAATGTAATCATCTTAGTATGCATGATACCACAAAATATAATTAGGCCTACCATATAATCTAATAATATGAAATGTGTACTAACCTCAACAATCTTAGCCTTTCCCTTAACATTCGGACATCTCACATTGTCCTGTACTTGATCCTTTTAAAATATTGTGAATAAACGTACTAATTTTAGTTGACAACAATAATATGATATGCTATATTTAATAATACCTTATGCACAATACTTTCATTGGGAATTCCTTCCTTCTCCTTATCTTGCTCAGTTGTCAGTTTCCCATTTCCTTGAACCTACATAAAAAGTTAAAATTTTTGCATTATCTTTTTATAACCATTGAATAGGTAGTTGAATTTGAGTGTATATTTCTCAGAAATATGTTTAAGTTAATAGCATACAATGCATACTCGGTATGACAACATGCACACTTTGATATTGTTATATTTTCATTATAAAGATTACTCAAAAAAAAATTAATTTACCTGCACAATACATTCTGTCCCAACAGCTTCTTCCGCTCTCTCTGTCTCAGTTGTCATATTCCCCTCTTCCATTGCTGGACGCAATTCATCCATGCTGCTCCATTGCGCTTGTGTTTCCTGTGTCAAACTAATTGAAAAAGAAGGAATGTCTTCAATTCCTTTGTCGTACAAACTCTTTTTCTGATTTGGATTCTCAACCCTCTCCACTGCTGCTATAGTTTCAGCCCAGAAGGCATCATCCTCTCTCTCCTGTGTACTTCTAGCGTCGTTTTCTTCTCTACGATCAACTCCTCTTTTTCTCTTCCCTACACCAATCAATTGTTTTGCTGCTTCTTGAATCCTTATGAAGTTTTCCTTTTCAATTAAGCTCTTTGGTGCATCTTCAAACATCTTTAGCACATCAATCACAGTTGATGCCAACATTTTGCTTTTATGTGCAAATCTCTTAACATATTCCTGTTTTATTACATTATAGTTAATTTCCTATTCATTTGCATACTTTCATACAAATAAATGCTAAATAATGAAAACACATGCTAAATTTTGTTCAAAATTTCCTCCTCAGTCTCAACAACAACAACACACTCCACCTCTACTCCATTTCCACTCCCTCCTTCATCATCTCTTTCTTTGGAATCATTTAGGTCAACCTTCATCATCTCCTTCATCATTTCGTCTTCATATATCACTGTGGCATCCCAGTATCCCATCCCGAAGCTGCCACTCTCTATCTCCAAAGACTCTCGCTCTCTAAGAAGTTTTCCAGTCCACCCTCTTAGCACAGGTAAAGTCCTATCAAGTTTTCTCCTATACATAACTATCATGTCCACATACAATAACTGCACAACACTTTATTATTATTACAGTTTACTATATAAAAATAAATAAATAGTTGAAAACACAATAATTGTAGTTGTTAAACTTACTGTTAGAAATAGCAATGGACCGGTGAATGCCTTGTCCTTCTTTTTCTCCCATGACACCTTGCTATCTATTAGACAATTTAGAACATGGTCACACCAGTCTATCTCCTTGATTTTTTCAACCTCATTCAAGTGACTAACAATCATTGGATTGACATATCCATTTTGCGTGTTGTCGAGAAGCAGTGACACTACAAAAACAATAAAGTGCCTAGAAAACCACTCACCACCTTCTTTATAACTAAGCATTTCTGTACTGACATCGGATGGGCTGATTTTGTATTCATCCTTATCAAATATGCCTTTCCACTCTTCAAGCAATGCACATTCCTCGTTCTTCTTTTTTGGTACTATTTTTCTGCCTCCTATTGGAAATCCCAAAACGAGGGCTACATCCTCTTCCGTTACACGCAACTCACTTCCATTGTGCAGCAGCAATGAGCATGGCATGTTTTCGGGTTGAAGTTATCAACCACCCAAAACCCCAACCTTCCTGGTATTTCACATACTTGCAGATCAAACAGTGCACCAAAACCCATCTTGTGTATCTCCTTCTTTTGTGCAGCAGTCATCACAGAGAGAGCTTTCACAATCATGTTGGGTGATGATCTTGTTCTTATTGTCCTAAACCTGGCCTTGATATCTTTAATGCTCTCTTTCTTTATTTTCTTGCTCTCATTTTCCACTAAGTCAGTTGCAGCTCCACCTTGCCCAGGTTGCAGTTCAAAGTCATCATCGCTTTCATTTTCATCAACTACTTTCCTCTGCCTCTTCAGCCTGCAGGCTTGGTTCTGAGGTGCATCTTTGATAGCTGGTCGCTTACCTTTATTGTTCTTCACCACCTGTAAGGTTTTGACTGTGCTCCCTGTAATATGGGAAACAATGCACTATTCAACACAAAGAATGCTCTCTTCCACTAACATAGACACAACTCCTGTTGTAATACATATTATTTTAATCAAATTACTAAATACCTCATGCACTATATCATTGCATTTATGAACATAATACTTTCACTTCATGCACATTCGAAACACCACATTACAATTAAAAACTTCAATAATGATGTAAGCAGTCTACTGTCTGTTAACTGATTTTCAACATTATAGATTTGCTGCACTTATTAAGTAAATTTCATTCACAATCACATTCACATAACAACAATATGAGTACACACCAATATATCAAAACACACTTAACCTGTGCACTGTAAGCCTTTTCTATCACACAAACAAGCCTTTTAAGCACGCAATTTATGCATTCAAATAAAAATTGGATGCACTTTAATGAAAAATTAGCTTTAGGATAGACCAAATTGTGTTCATCACATATACAAATAGTTCATGCACTATATCATTATATGTATGAACCTATTAACTACTCTTTATGCGCAATCCAATAAAACACATCCATAGCAAAACTCATCATTCATATACACAATTTCGCTCTGCACTCTACCCCTTTTTAATCACTCAATCATGACTCTTCACTACCCTTTTCCCATTATTTTTCTATTATTCATTCACTGTCGCAACACAACATTTACCCATACACACAAATAAACAAACAAATCTCACTTTCTATTGTTTTTCATGATAAATGCTTCACAAACTTCATTAAAATCGTTTTCTTTAGTCATGCATTGAATCCACAACATGAACTTGTTAATCCAACAAAATTAGTCACAAAATAACCGCATGTTATCGCCATACCTGAAGCACTTTTTGCAGTCCCTGATGCACCGTCGTTTTCGTTCGTCCTTGTCATCCTTCTTCTTCGACGGTTTCCTAGAGTTTCGATGCTAGGGCACGCCTTCTTCTTCGTCGAGCTCTGGTAGTTTCAGAGTAGAAGTCTGCGCAATGAAGGAAGTTTCTCTTTTTTCGAATATACAGGCACATTAAATGGGATTTCTTCCCCTATGGGAACTCGTGCGGCCGAACCGCCATAATTAAGCATCATAGTCTTTTACCCATTTACCCTTTAATTGGCTTCTTAATGCACGTTTCTTCTTTTTTAATCTGGCACGGACGCATCATGCATTTTTTAATTAATAAAACTGATCATCCCGGCAGCACGATTGACAAATTGGATGGTCGGATCTCGTTCTTTTTTACTCTCCTAAGAGGCTAAGAGGGCGTTCTCATAGGAACTAATCCCTATATATATATATTATCTTTTTTTTTAAAAGAACAATGCATATAATGATATTTTAGCACTAATATAGTTTCTTACGGAGTATTAGAGAAGTATCCTATACATGAATATGGAAAACTCAAAGTGTCAGAGATGGATTTAACACTACTTTCTGAACGAATGGGTCAAAAAATATTGGGCAACTTGATTTACTTCTCACATGTATCAATCTATTTTAGGTAGCTCTTGGAAGCTTTTGAAAGAATAATAAGGAGTATTATAAAAACTCTCTCTTAGTTTATTCTTATGTGATCAATGCCTTATATACATGATGAGCCCATACGGCAATAATTCTAACAAAGAAAATCTGAAGAAGATATTTTCCTCGAATCAAGCTATTACCTAAGATACTACATAACAACCGTAAATACAAGGAGATGCTATAATATAGAAATACATGTGTACCAGCCATTTTTGCTATAAAAATATAGAAATATTTGAGGTTTGGTTAATTAACCTAAGCCCATTTCAGATCATTTTCTCTGCCCTACCTACTATGTCTATTTAAGCGTTTGGAATGGTTAGACAAAACTCACTTTTATAATGAAGTTGCATCTCACTACTACTATTCGTAATGAAGTTGCACCAGTTCTGTCCATGTGGACGAACACAATTTTTGCCTTAAAGCTGTGAACGTGGACAACATTTTTTTGCTAAGAGCTGCATCTCCGCCTCCTAAAAAAACAGGTGTCCATAAAACTATACCTCATTCTCTCTACTATTTGTTGCTATCTCTTTAATTTGCACTATTCCCTACTTGATACTTTTTTTATGTTGCTGGAATTCTCAAGTACACATATACCTATTTGTTAATTATATCCTTGCTTGTATGTGTATACGATTTGTACTAATGTTTTATTTTCACAAAATTAAATACTTGACACCGAAGATATTATAAAAACTAAATGTAGGAAGGATTAAATTCAAAAAAAAAATAAAGTATTATAATTTTGATATAATATGGATATATATTATTTTAAGTTTTGAATGTATATGTACAATTTTAATATCGGTACTAATTGCTGCCAAAAAATAATCACGGCAGTAATTAATTTGATTGAGATTTTTATTTTGGGTGTGAAATTTACTATTTAGGTAATTTTTCCCTACTTAAGTACTTGATATTTTTCAGCACACAATCCTCCCACTTATATATGGACGAATCAATTTAAGCACGGTTAAAATACTTATGGGTACGTTCGTCTCATTTGTGGGGAAAGTCTCCAAACCAGGGGACGTACGTCACCAACAGGCCAAGGAGTAAATTGAGTTTGAAATTCCCCAGTTCATGGGACGTACATCCCCATCCGGAGACGCTTTCCTACTACTTCAGAGGATGTACGTGTCCACCGGAGACGCTTCCCCCTACTTCAGGGGACGTACGTCCCCAACAGGTCAGGGAGTAAATTGAGTTTGAAATTCTCCAGTTGGGGGGCGTACGTCCACAACCGGAGACGTTTTCCCCTACTTCAGAGGACGTACGTCCCCAACTGGAGACGCTTTCCCCCTACTTCAAGGGACGTACGTCCCCAACAGCCCAACAAGGCCCAATTGCAAGACATACTGATAAGTCGCCAAAGGGTTTCGGGGAAAGTCTCCAAACCAGGGGACATACGTCCCCAATAGGCAGGGGAGTAAATTGAGTTTGAAATTCCCCACTTCATGGGACGTACGTCCCCATCTGGAGACGCTTTCCTCCTACTTAAGGGGACGTACGTCTCCGGCTGGAGACGCTTCCCCCTACTTCAGAGGACGTACGTCCCCAACAGGCCAGAGAGTAAATTGAGTTTGAAAATCTCCAGTTCCGGGGACGTACGTCCACAACTGAAGACACTTTCCATTTACTTCAGAGGACGTACATCCCCAACTGGAGACGCTTTCCCCCTACTTCAAGGGACGTACGTCCCCAACAGCCCAACAAGGCCCAATTGAAAGACATACTGATAAGTCACCAAACGGTTTCGGGGAAAGTCTCCAAACCAGGGGACGTACGTCCCTAACAGGCCGGGGAGTAAATTGAGTTTGAAATTCCCCAGTTCATGGGACGGAGACGCTTTCTTCCTACTTCATTGGATGTACGTCTCCACTGGAGACGACCCCCCTACTTCAGGGGACGTATGTCCCCGACAGGTCAGGGAGTAAATTGAGTTTGAAATTCTCTAGTTGGGGGGACGTACGTCCATAACTGGAGATGCTTTCCCCCTACTTGATAGGACGTACGTCCCCAACTGGAGGCTTTCCCCCTACTTCAAGAGACGTACGTCCCCAACAGCCCATCAAGGCTGAATTGCAAGACATACTGTTAAGTCGCCAAACGGTTTCGGGGAAAGTCTCCAAACCAGGGGACATACGCCCCCAACAGGCGGAGAGTAAATTGAGTTTGAAATTCCCCAGTTAATGGGACGTACGTCCCCATCTGAACACGCTTTCCTCCTACTTCAGGGGACATACGTCTCCAACTGGAGACGCTTCTCTCTACTTCAAGGGACGCACGTCCCCAACAGGCCAGGGAGTAAATTGAGTTTGAAATTCTCCAGATCAGGGGACGTACGTCCACAACTGGAGACGCTTCCCCCTACTTTAGAGGAGGTACGTCCCCAACCAGAGACACTTCCCCCTACTTATAGTCTATATATACCACACGTGTCAACTTCATGTGCCCATAAATTTTCCATATCCCTTATTTCTTTAATGATGTTTAATTCTATTTTAAAAGGACAGTAAATTTTTATCATTCTCCATATTGTAATTCTTTTGCTGAGAGTAAGACTTTAACTTATTATAATTTTTTTGATTTACCATTAAAATTGTCTCATCTTTCCTTTGGAGTCCGTTCCACTACATTGTCACATCGAAATTTGGTAAAGTTTGTGTGGTTCTAATTGTAACATTTTCATTTAGTTGTATGATTTTAAATTTTAATTATATATACTTCCTCCGTTAACATTAGTATAATATTATGAAATTTATACCTTTGGATCATGATTTTTATTAGTATAATATTATGAAAGTTCTAAAATATAGACTTTTATGAAAGTACTTTTAACTAAGAACATTTTCATATCATTTTTATATTATTAATAATTTTCAATAAATATATCTAATTTGTCAAAGTTTTGAATTTAGCTAAGTCTATTTTGGGGTGGTGGTAGTATAGTAAAATGCTGCAAAATTGATACATAACAAATAATTTAAGGTTTGTACGTTATGTTAAGAGTTTTTATCTTAAATTCTAAGTCAAATTAAATATGAATTATATAGGTCTTCTTCTAGGTGAAGAAGTTGACAAAATCAACCATCATATTGGGCAAAAGACCACGGGTCTTCATACGAATCTGTAAGTCCAACGACAAATGAAACACATGATGGAGAAGGTACCGATGAGAAGGTTGTCGGGAGTTTAAACCGCTCTAAAAATGACACAAATCTTCAAAGGAACGCTCCATCATCTTCAAACTAAAAAAGGAATCCATTACGGGATATCACAATTGGTAACATTTTATCCAATCATGTCTTCATATTTGCCATAAATATGATCTAATTCTTTCATTAAACATTTCGAAAATAGCCATATCAAATAATAGCACTATAAGTGCACGCCAAAAAAGTACTGGCAAATGGCGTTTTGGAATGTCCCTATTACCTGAAGA